TATATATATATATATATATATATATATATATATATATATATGTGTGTATGTACATATATACAGACACATGTATATAAATGCATACATATATATATACTTTGTATAAATATATATATATATATATATCAGACACACATATGTATATATATACATATATATATATATATATATATATATATAGTATTGTATATAATATTAAATGTATATATAATCTTTTATAAAATATATTTTATATATGCCAGTATATATATCTCTCTATATATATATATATATACATATATAGATATATATATAGATAGATATATATAAAGAAATAATTTATGTTGAATAAAACAATTCATTATCTGTTATTTTTGCATGAATTTAAATTTAATGAACTTCTATAACTTAAAGTTAAAAAAAATAATGTAATTGATTCAAACTCAATGCAGTTTAAAATGTTGAATTCTCCAGTTCAAGTTCAAGTAGGTTTCTTGTCATTTCACCACATGTGGTGGAATGAAATTATATACACTGGGTTCCAGTTACACCCAACAATTGCAAAAAAAAAAGTAAAAAAGCTCTCTCGGCAGGAAACAAAACATCTTTAACTACAGAATAGAAATCAAGTTGCTTTTCTTTTTTTTTTTTCTTTTTCTTTTTTTATATTTTCATGTCCTGGATAAGTGGACCTACACCAACTGGACTTACACCAACATATGATGGTGTTAGATAACTGCATTTGTTTCAATACGTCATTCTCATTAAAGAAGTGCAAATCTGTGCTGGAGTAGACAGGAAGCAGAAGGCTCAAATGTAAACACGGACGGAACAAGCATGGGAGATAATAGTTTAGTCAGCTGTGATTGAACAACTTCAGTTTCCATCCACACTCTGGCATGTGCAGCTTCCATACTTATTGCCATAACCACAGCAACGTTAGGACTTCTTCTGCAGTCACTTCAGACTGTTCATGCGAGTCACATTTATAATGCAATAACACCTGAAGCTCAGCAACAAGAAAACAAAGACCTGCAGTGTGTATCTCACCCAAGTTTCTCAGAACTGTGACTTAGAGTCTTATGGAATACTAAATTATGGCAGAAAGGGGCTTCCATATAACCTGTAATAAAAATCATGTGCTCATAGATGCACTAAAAATATATTTCTGTCTATTTTAACTGGAGAAACCCTTGGATAGAGTCTGTTCAAGAAGGGAGAAGCTCTAATAATGTTATAGTTTATCAGTTTGACACAAAAGCACAAACATCTGAATATATAGTGTATTCAAGCACAAGTAACAACTGATGACCATGGTCAAATTATCACTAAAAATTCTTCTGATAAATAAAAATCTGTTTTTTTCTGGGACAGACATAAAGTCCAGCAGACTTTACCCTCGGTGATCTCGTCACTCTCTCTGTCTGCCTGGGCTTTGATGATGTAACGCTTGATCAGCCGCTTCATGATCTTCTGCAATCAGTGACGACAGACACATTTAGCTGATTCTGGTGGTTTAACTCTTTTGCTACATTGTTGTACTTAACCCACAAATGTTTACCTGATATCGTGTTGTGCTGTTAGGGCCTTCATATCCGGAATGTTTAGTCTGCCCGAGCTGAAAGATTAAAGTAAATTTAGCTGAACAGAAGTGTCTTTTCTGATGTTCATCTTTAAATCAGTGTGTGATGCAGCAGTGAAACCACCAGGAGGAGCTCAAAATCTCAGAATGTAGAACTAAATTCAGAAAACAGACTGTGCACCTGAGACAGCTGGGTCTCCAGAGTCTTCTCCCTGTTCCTGTGAACAAACTGCAGGAGCCAGGACTTTATGGCCGTGACAAGTCCCAGCATGGATTTGGGACTGGGAACCAGATTAAAGGGGACGGGGAGAGTCCGTCCCTCCTTGAAATAAGAAAACCAAAGTTTCGCCCGAGCAAACTTCCATTCCACATCAGCATCATCCTGCAGCAAAAGGAATCAAGAAGAGAAAAACTGTCCAGGAACACGCAAAGAAGGTGGGCTCAGGTTCTTTAGGTTTGTAGTGAACTTGACCTGATGTCAAATCAATGACCTTAGGATATGGTCAGAAACTGTCATTTCATTGATTTGAATCCAGAAATACAGTTTAGACCCATCCTGAGACTTTCTTCCTTGAATTAATCAAGTGGAAAAAGACAATTTTCTATTATCATTACTATTTTACAAATGTTGATAACCAAAGTGTTTTAGTTCAAACCATTCTAGATGTTGCAGTGAACTAATCAATTTTATTAACTGTGAAACAGTAACAATGATTTTTTTAGTTGCTTATGCAGAGTTAGAATTCATGTTAAGGTCTGTTACAGATTTTTATGCATTTTCTGATTTCTTTCTTTGAATGAGCAAGTGTAAGTTTTGTCCAAGGTCAGGAGTCGAAGCAGACATGTGTTGGAACAACTGTCTTGTTTACATCCTCTCAGACGTCAACAGAGAAGTTGGCACCTGTTTCCAAACTTGCCAAAACAAAACTCTCTCTGTCTCTGAGAACAGTTTTAATCTGTTCCATAACAATTCTTGCTGTTTTCTGACTTCTAGTAA